CAAGTCACCTTGGCCTGGGCCTTCATGCTTTTCAGATTTCACTGGACTCCTACCATGCTTCTTGCTGCTGCCCTGACACTTGAACTACTTCAGTCCTATCAGTGTTTTTCCTTATTTTTAAATGTCCTTTGTCAGGATGTAGAAAGTTAGGAAAAAATCACATGACTGAGGTAAACAGAAAATTCCTTTTTGAAAGTTCACAGAACTGGTAAATACACAACTTCATCTCACATCATCCCAAAGCCCTGCCCGTCCTCCATGAGAGTTGTCTTTGTACAGATCTTTCTGGAGCATTCCCAAGTGGCATGGCCTGTGCCTTCTCTGGCAGGACACCAGTGGGGCTGTGCTTTATGCCCTGAAGGTCTTGGGCTCTATGGAGTGCCAGGCTTCTCCCCAGGGGTACAGATGGAAGGTATGCCCCCTCTCTAGTGAGCAGGCAGGCTCCCTGCAGATGGGATCCAGATGGTGGCATTAACTGAGCAGTGGATGGAGCCAGGAGAGGGGGTGCTGAGAGAAAGTGGGGCCAAGCTTGGCCAGCCGCATGCTGGATGGAGAGGATGACTAAGGTGGAAGGATGGAGCGTAGAAGTTTCAGAATTGCTAGTCCGTAATGGTTTGGGCTGGGTAAGCATGGCAGCCCTGATCTTACACTTGCTCCTTTGTGTGGGTTAGTATGGTTCACTGTGTAACAGGGTGTGCCGGAGAGCTTTAGTGTCAACTCGACACACCTGGGTTGAGGAGCCTCCATTGGGGGGTTGCCTCTATTGGACTGGCCTGTGGCCATGTCTGTGGAGCATCTTCTTGATGAGTGATGTGGGAGGGCCCAGCCCACTGTGGGTGGTGCCACCCCTGGGCAGGTGGGCCTGTGTTGCATAAGAAAGCATGCTGAGCATGGGCCAGGGGAGCAAGCCAGTAAGCAGCCTTCCTCCAGGGCCTGTGCCCAGGCTCCTGCCTCCAGGTTCCTGCCCTGAGTTCCTACCTTGGGCTCCCTGATGAACTGTGACCTGGGAGATGTAAGACAAATAAACCCTTTCCTCCCCAAGTTGGTATTGGTCAGAGTATTTTGTCATAGCAATGGAGAACAAACTAGGACACCCATCTTTTAATTGGGTCACTTGCTTTCTTGATTGTTTTTTGAGTTCTTTTTATATTCTGGATGTTAAACCTCTGTCAGAAAGTTTTCTCCCACTTTGTGGGTTTTCTCATCATTTCCTTTTTTGTTTCTTTTGATGTACAGGAACCTTTTAGTTTAATGAGGTCCCACTTGTTGATTCTTGACCTTAATTCCTGAGCAATTGATGTTCTGTTTAGAAAATCCCTTCCCACACCTGTATCTTATAGTTTATTGCTAATATTTTCTTCTAACAGTTTCAGAGTTTCACGTTTCACATTGAGGTCTTTGATCCATTTGGAGTTGACTTTTGTGCAAGGTGAAAGATAGGGGCTTAGTTTCATTCTTCTACAGGTGGAGATCCAATTTTGCCAGCACCATTTGCTAAAGATGCTGTCTTTCCTCCAGTGAATGAATGGTCTTGGCCCCTTTGTCAAATATCAGGTGGCTGAAATTGCATGTACTCAGTTTGGGTCTTTAATTTTGGTCCATTGATCGATGGATCTATTTTTGTGTCATATTGTTTTTATGACTATAGCTCTGTAATACAGTTTGAAATCTGATATAGTAATCCCCCAGCATTGCTTTTTGTGCTCAGGGTTACTTTGGCTATCCGGGGTATTTTGTGCTTCCAATATGAATGTTAGGGTGGTTTTTTCTAATTCTGTGAAGAATGTTATGGGGATTTTGATCAGTATTGCATTGAATCTATAAATGGCATTGTCTTTGGTCAGGTTTAGTCCCGTGATAGTTTATTTTTTTGTGGTTCTGGGAGGGTTTCCATGTACTCTTTCTCCAGTTGCTTGATATTGGTATATAGAAAGGCTACTGATTTTTGTAGATTAATTTTGTAACCTGCTACTTTACTGAAAGTGAACTGATTAGTTTTCTGGTGGGATTTTTGATGTCTCTTAGATATAGTATCATATCGTCTGCAGAAAAGGAATAATTCGACCTCTTCTTTTCAAATTAGTACTCCTTTAATTTCTTTCTTTTGTCTTACTGCTCTAGCAAGAATTTCAAGCACTATATTAAAAAGGATTGAAGATAGTGGACAGCCTTGTATGGTTCCTGATTTTAATGGGAATGCTTCCAGTTTTTTTCCAAGATGGAATGTGACCAGCTGGGCGTGGTGGCGCATGCTATTAGTCCCAGCATTTGGGAGGCAGAGGCAGGTGGATCTCTGTGAGTTCGAGGCCAGCTGGGGCTACAGGGAAACCCAGTCTCAAAAAGAAAAAAAAAAAAATGGAATGTGACCAAGGAAGATACCAAACACATCCACATCAAGCCTCCACACACAGGAACATGCATAAACTGTGCATAACACATACAAGATTTTAAGAAATGCTTTGTTTTGGATATGTGTATATTGCTTTTAGAAAAAATTGTTATTCAAAAAAGAAGACAATGTAAGAGATATGGCCAACCAGCTTTCATGTACTTAATATGTTTATATGTTTTTATTTGCCTGAACAAGGATTGTAGTTATAGAAATTAAGAGCCATTTTAAGACAAAAGAATAATAATTTGACATCACTGAAATTATAATCTTAAGTAGAGAAAATTTCTTGGTTTTCAGTTGAGTTATAGGGGAGTTTTATATTTAAATAGAAAATAATATAACTGAACACTAATTTTTATAGGGTGTCTGGCTGGCAATATATGTTATGATGCTTAGTTTTGATTATAAAAGGGGCCATTATGAGACCAGCATTCTATTAGGTAAACATGAATCGAAGGTTAAATTGTGCTGATTTCTACACTAAGAATTAATTCCTAAAGATTTTTCCTATTTTATTTAGTGGAGAGTGGTTTTCGGCGTATGTCTGAAGATGCTTCTGCTGCTCTCCCCCTGCCTTAAATCATAAACAGCAGTTTGTGCCCTTCAAGCTTCCTCCACTGTATCCCTGGACTGATTGCTGTGGAGCTGAGTCCTTTGTGATGCTTTTCTTTTTCACCATGTGAGCTTCCTTCCTTTGCTCTGCCACTCTTCTGTCTCCATTACCTTAAGTCAGCTCACTGCCTTCTTACAGCCCGCTTTCCTGCACGCACAGTCAGTAACAGGAGTAACATCAGAGCAGAAAGGATTGAGCGGCACAGTCAGTAACAAGAGTTAAGAGAGCAGCAGAAAGGATTTAAACGACACACATTCACAGCCGTGTGTGCAGTAGGGCTCTCTGATACTGTATGATGTTTTCTTTTTTGTCATCTGTCTGAAACGGAGCTGAAATGGTATTGACCTTGTGTGGAATGCCTCTGAGGATTTGGGGGAGAGGGAGGGATCTAGATTTTCATGTGACTTATCTCTGACACACTGCAGCAGGAGTAAAAACACTCATCTGTTCACATAAGAAGGAAAGAAAACATTTCCAAGATTGAGCTAGCAGAATTTGTGTGGTATTTTCAGGGGTTTTCCCTTTTGATTTTTCTGTTTCTCAGTTTTACCTAATTTGATAAAGGTTGGAGGTGGGGGGGGATGGCCTTTGCATAATAAGTAGATTGAGGGATGGAAGGAATGGACTACAACAATGATTCACATGGTAAGGGACTGTTTAAAATCTCCAAGACATCGGAACCTACATTGCAACCCTTCTGACAAACGGTTAGTGAGCTGCTTGGCCATCTCAAGTGTAGCAGTATACAAACAGCTTTATTTGTATGCTGTTTCCTTCTGTACAGATCTTAAGGTTATTATTGCACCTACATATCCAGAACAGCTGGTATTTGACTGCCTTTAAAGTCTCACTTCAGTAAGGCAAGACATACCAATAAAAAATGTAGTTTGTCCTTTATTTGGTTTAATTTTCCCACTTTCCTTTATGCTAGAGCTAAATGGAATCTGAGCTTACATTTGGGTTTTGTTATATATTGAGTTATGTTAGTTATTGAACTGTAGTAATGATTATAAGATGAAATCTGCCATGCTCGCCTAGAGGGCTTCCTAAATGCTGTCCTTCCCTCTCCATGTTGCCTTCTCTTACCCATCACTCCACCTCCAAATGTGTAGCTGAAGACTTCTATGGCCTTTTCTCATTTTGTAGGAAATAAAGTAAAAGAGCAGTGTGAGTGATTTTGTTAAACGTGGGCAGTTAAATTTGTTTTATGAAAAGAATTAGTTTTATGTTGTAATTCTGAATTACAGATCCATTCGTAGGAATCCAGCTCAGATAAAAGCATATCAGAATTTGAATAATGATGTTTCAAAGTAAAAATAGAGCTTAGTGTGTTTGATTTGAGAAGAAGAGATAGTGCCTCTCTGGTCTCTTTAATTTATAATATAGTGTACATGATTATATATTTGATCATTTGAGTTTCATAGGTAGTCCCAAAATAAAGCAGATGTAGTATTTTATAGATCATTTTATCTGTTTATTAACAATCTTTCCCATTTTCTCTATATTGTTAAGTTCTAAAATTAATGCACGCTGGTGGTTTAATGGAAAATTAACACACAAATGGCTTCTTCCTTAATATTGTTCACTGTTTCTATTAGCCATTTTCATTTTAATATGATAGTGATAGTTAAGGGTTAAGCTTAGAGAGCTGATGCAACTCCTCCTTTTTTTTAACCAGTGATTTTCATTGGACAGCATTTCCATAGCAACAGTGAGATCAGTGAAACCTGAATGTTCCATTGATTATTTTTCTCTTCTTCCTTTTTTAATCTATTCTCTTTTCACCACATTTTAGTGAGGAAGCAATTTTTTACAAACAGAGCTTATATTGATTTCCATAAATAATTTAAAGAAGGTAGAAAAATCTGCCCTTCACTTAAAAATTGAATGTTTCATCATGTATTTAAAAAGCGATTCAGGATTAGGAGGATGGATAACCATACCAGCTGTAGCTGATGTTCTTAAATATTCTTGCATTGTTTGCTGGTCTTCTAGGGAAAAGAATAATGTAGAACAGGACCTTAAGGAGAAAGAAGACGCTATTAAGCAGAGGACAAGTGAGGTTCAGGTAAGTGAAGTATAAAATGCCCTATTCCATTTCTAATATAGGGATAGTAATTTTAAATGTACTTAAAATGGTCATAATATTAGGTCTAGGGAATACTGAATATTTGTGATGTAAATATCTCTTTTGTAAAATGATGGTCATTGCTCTGAATTTTGATTTGATATTAGAGATTATGCTGCAATGAGAAAGCAGTATTTTTTAGCATATATTTCTAGTTTTGAAAATATTTTAATGATATTCACCTACATATTATATTATTATATTATTAAAGGTAACTTTGAATGACTTTTGATGTGAATATTGTTATACTAATAAAATTAAATGAGATCATCATCAAAAATCTGTTGTTTTTCATACTGTAGTATTTTGTTGGCTGTGCTCTATCCTCAGAGACTGCTGCTCGTGTTACTGGTAGGGTGGGAGCTAGTAGAAAAAAATTTAAGGTAATATTTTATGAACTGCTTGTTAGCCAGGGTATCAGAAACTTTGTCATAAGAGATTGAATTCATTTTTACTATGGTATATTAAGTACTTATATTTTGCAAATAGACAAGATAATCAGCTTGTTTCTATTTGAAAATGCAACAAAATGTTTCAAACATTAAAAAGAGAATGTTGAATAGTGTTTCATTTAGAGCAGTAAGCAATGCATGTGGCCGTGTTATTGGGATGCATTTCCTGAATGCCCTGCAGACATACAGAGGAGACTGGATGTAGAAGCACAAGTAGCAGTTGCCAGCAAGAGCTCATGGGCAGGCGTTTCCTAACATGTGACTTGTATGTAGGATTTTTCTACTTGTCCTAATAGTTTTAAATAGCTGAAAACTCTAAATCCTTAGACCTGTTATTTTGTTTCAATGTAGAATATTCATTCTAGAGTGAGAAAATGATTTACTAAAGGGTGGAGGAAAAAGCCAGTGAGACCTCTATTGGTGGTTGGCTCTGCTTGGATGACTGTGGTTATTTTATTTATTGGAATTTTCCTAGAAGTGATGTGGAAGTCAAAGAGATTATCACCAATATATTTCTCCTGCTAATGAAATTGGGTGTGGGCTGGTAAGCTACTTGACTTACATTATTTTCGTGTAATTTTTAAAGCTTCTTAAGAAATGCAGATAACTCACTGACTTAAAGCAGTTTTTGCTAGAAATGGTTTGAGAATGTAAGTCTACCAATTTTTCAATTTGAAGAAGCAGATATAGGGGTCAGTGAGATGGCTCAGCAGGTAAGGGTGCTTACCACCAAGCCTAAGGACTGAAGTTTGATCTTTGGTACCCACATAGTAGAAGGAGAGAACCGACTCCCACAAGTTGTCCTCTCACCTCCACCCCTACACTGTGGTAAGGGCCCACATACAAAAAAATAAATAAATCTATTGAAGAAGTAGATGGAGTCACTGATAAAATCTTGACTAGCTTCTAGATTTAGCTAGTTATTTTTTAAATACATTTTTAAATATACAGATTCTTGTGGTAGACAGTATTTTGTTATTTGAATACATTTGTATACCTGTTGGGTTTTCCTCCATGTTTTTGAGGGTAGAGATTTTATATAGCCAGCTTAGAAGAGCATTAAAATGTGCATTGTTCCTTGAGTATCCTTGAATAGTTTGTTTCTTATATTTATTACAGAAGCTTTGTTATTAGACTTTTTCCATGATTTACTTGTAGGCTTTTGTTTTTTGGTGGTTTTTTGTTTTCTTTTGCTTTTTTGCTTAATGGTGGTAGTTAGGTCACCTTAAACTTTGTGAGGTCCAGAGTGTGTGGTTGTCACCTGAAATCCAGATTGTTGAATTTTTCTGTATAGGGCACTTCTAAGTATAAGGCATCCTGGAGCTTGATTTGTATAGACCAAGTGGTAATGGCCTAAAATAAATTCACTGGAAAGTAACACTGAATGAGTTAACATTTTGGGTTAGTAAATTCATGTCACTCCAGTATGGATGTCATTGTATTATTAGTGTAATGAGATACTTACTAGATCAAGAATGACGATAATCGATATGTATAAGTAACTAAAACACCTCACTTTGTGATCATTTTCTATTTTCTGAAGCACAAGAAGATTTACCAAAATTGGTAACATGCAGAATTCATTACGTATTGCGTTAGCTCTGATTTACCCTTTTAGGAGTAACATTGATAATTAAAATCTGGAATTCCAACTCTCAGTACTTCTTTTTTTTTTTTTTTTGAGATAAGGTTTCATGTAACTCAGGCTGCCCTTGAACTATGTAGTTGACTGTAACCCTGACCTCCTAATCCTCGTGCTTCCACCTCTCAAATGCTTTGGTTACCAGAGTATACCATCATAGCCTGCTTTTAGTACTACTTTTCTGATTTTTCTCATAAGAGACAAAATAAGTAACAGAATCTAAGAAAATATATTCACTGCTTCATTCTGACTTTACATTCTAATGGAGATGCTAATAGGAAATGCCAAAATGGGGGCTGGAGAGATTGCTCTGTGGTTAAGAGCACTGGGCTGCTCTTGTAGAGGACCCAGGTTTGATTCCCAGCACCTGCATGGCAGCTAACAGCTGTCCATAACTCCAGTTCCAGGGGATCCGATGCCCTCCTCTGACTTCTTCAGACATTACAAGACACTAATGCACTTACACAAATGCGGGCAATAGACTCATACACATAAAAAAGATAGATAAATAAAATAAGTGCCAAAAATGAAGACATCAGGGAAGTAAAGACATTTTAGCCCTTCAGTGAGTATTTATATCAGTGAGTATCGTAACTTTTCTGAGTGTTGTTGCTTTTCTCTATATTAATGAAGTAACAGATCATGATTACATGAACTCATATTTCAAGCATAGAAACTAAAGTTTCAAAACCAAGAGCCTAGTCCAGTATGGTGGTGCATGCCTTTAGTCCCAGCACTTGGGAGGCAGAGGCAGGCGATCTCTGTGAGTTCAAAGCCAGCCTGGTGTATATAGTGAGTTCCAGTACAGCTGAGGCCACAGGGAAACTCTGTTTCAAAAAAGACAAAACAAACAAACAAACAAACAAAATTAAAACCAAGAGCCTTGAGGGTTTTTTTTTTTTTTTTTTTTTTTTTGGCCTTTTTGACCAGGTTGGCCTTGAACTCAGAGAGATCCGCCTGCCTCTGCCTCCTCTGCCTCCCGAGTACTGGGATTAAAGCCTTGTGCCACCACATCCTGCGAGCCTTGAGTTTTTTTGTTGGTTTTATTTTTGGTTTTGTTTTGGTGCTGAGGATTGAACCCAAGGCATACTAAGTACATGCTCCATCACAAAGCTACATTCCATCCAGATTTTTGGATTTATATAGACTTTCTAAAGTAGAATATTGACTTTCTAACTTTTTGTTTCCTGTGTGGTCTATGAGTTCAACATCTTGAAACTTTTTGTCTTCCTCCTTTGCCATGCTGCCTGTGTCAACTTGATGCTAATGCTGACTGTTTAAGCTCTTAGCTCCCAAGTGTCACTCCCACATCTCCAGTTAGCCATTTTAAGTGTTTATCATTTCAAAATCAAGTCTGTCTAAAATAAGTCTTGTTGAAACAAAATTGGCTTCAAATTTGGACTTTCCTATTTCTGTCAGTGCTTTTCTTTTTCATTACTGACCTTTCTCTCTCTCTCTCTCTCTCTCTCTCTCTCTCTCTCACACACACACACACACACACACACACACGTGCCAGGGTGATGTCTTAAGGGGAAAGAGCATTTGTTGCACAAGCATGAGGAGGGCTTGGGTTAGACTGTTAGAATCCCCAACACCTATAGCCATGTCTTTAATCCCAGTTATAGGTGTGGCTGGGGGAAGGACAGGAGGATTGTAGGGCGCTCAGGCTTCCAGCCAGCCTAGCTCCAGGTTCCCAGGTTCAGTGAGAAACCCTATCTCAAAGAATAAGGCAGAGTGATAGAGCAAGACACCCAGCATCATCCTCTGGCCCCTGCAGGTATGCACATGCTTGGGCTTACACACATATACACGTATACATGCACCACATACACAAATAAAGTTTTAAAAATATACATCAAATGTCTGTATACACTCCATATACATACATACATACAAACACACACTAATGTCTGTCTTCCTTGAGCTTAAAAATTGTGCTTTATATATAATCCACTATATTTGATAATGTATTGTTAGGTATTTAAGGAAACTATTCAAATGGAAATAAACTTTGGTTTCTGGTATGAAATTAAAAATAGGAAAAAATGTACCCAGAACCCACTAGCAGAAAGGATTGAGACCATAGTAGGTATTGTGGAGTCACATGTTGCATTTTGCTCATAGTAACTTCACACAAGAGAAGCTCCTGATTATACTTCAGTCAGTTAAGAGTTAGTTAAGGGGCTGGAGAGATGGCTCAGCTGTTAAGAGCACTGGCTGCTCTTACAGAAGACCCGGGTTCAAATCCCAGCACCCACAAGGTGGCTAACAACTGTCCATAACTCCAGTTCCAGGGGATCTGAGGCCCTTTTCTGACTTCTGTGGGCATTGCATGACACGGATACACTTACATACATGCAGGCATAACACTCATACATATAAAACAAAAATTAAAAAAACAAATGTTGTTGGGTGTGGCAGCATACACCTTTAGTTCCAGCACTTGTGGTAGGCAGAGGCAGGTGGATCTCTGTGTATTCAAGGCCAGTCTGGATTGCATAGTGAATTCCAGGCCAGCTGGGGCTTCAGGGAGACCCTGTCTCAAAAGAAAAAATAAAAATAAAAATGGAGTTAGTTAACTCAGAGTAATTGTTCATATTTTTTTTCATTTTAATTCACTCATTTTTTTTTCCTTAGAGGAAGAAGGATGACTTATTTTAGTGGGAAGTAAAGTTAGATACATGAGCTCACAATTTTTTTCCTAGCAATGATGCTCTTTAGAACACACTGGGAAACATATAATTGGAAAATAAAGGCAGGCTGGTAGTGTGGTTTTCTTACACCCACCCAAGTTTAATAGACTTCTTTCTGTTCTTTTAATTAATCGCCTTGCACAGCAGTTGGCC